GCTCTTGGCGCCCTCGCTCGCTGAAAATGCATTAATCTTCGCATTGCTTCGAGGGGATGGGCGACTTCCGACATCCGTGAGTTCGTCTAGAATTGGTTGCGGCCAGTGTCGCTCTGCTTCCTATCCGCCCTCTGGACGTTCCATCGGCTACAACGGCCCCTATTCTTCCATTGCCTAATTCCATTCCCACCGCGGCTCCAGCCCGACCTGCAACAGGCGCGCGAGGTGGAACGGCCAGCCCGCAGCTGAACCAGCCCGCCTGAGCGCGATGAGCGGCGCCGCGGCGCAGCCGTTCAAGGACTTCTGGGCCGACAAGGTTCCCCCCCTCATCGAGACTGACTTCAAACGGCTTCTCAAGACCATGCCGAGGCGCGTCGCCGAGAGGGCCGCGCAGGCGAAGAGGGAGAAGCCAGACAAGTCGCAGGGGGACCAGTCGAAGAAGACCTCGAAGAAGGACAGCAAGGAGAGGACTCCATTGCAGGGGAAGCTCGCCAAGATCATCGAAGAGTGCAAAGAGAAGGGCGAGCGCAGGAATGTCTATCTGAACCTGGCGTATACGGCGCCCATCGACAACAGTTTCCTGGAGGAGAATATCACGGTGGGCAAGGTGGAGAACGTGGCTGCGGGCATGTTCATGCGGAACGTGCCGACGGACGACGCGGCTGAAACAGCGAACGACTCTCGCGAGGGCGCTGGCGACGTCGAGTGCACAGCCCAGGGTAACCCACAGCGGCGCATCGTGGAGACGCTAAGCCAGGTCAAGGGTGGCAGGCGTTGGAACATCCCGAAGCAAGTTGAGAAAGGGTTCGAGATCCCCATCATGATCACCAACGTGAACCAGACCGCTGTGCCCGAGATCGGCAAGTTCAAGCGTTTGGGCAGTGACGTCGTGGTCAACGCTGTCTGGCTGGCCTACTACTGGGCGAAAGAGGAAGGCAACAGGCAGGCCGTAGAAGCGGTGGAGGACTTGATTTTGGATTGGCCCTTCGATTTCGTGCAGATCCCGGGGCGCGCGGCTGAGGAGGCCGAGGAGAACAAGTTCAAGTGGTCTGTCAACCAGAGATCGCGCACCGAGCGCCTGCGCAATTTCCTCGGGCTCGAGAACCAGAACCTCCTGCGCGTCGTGGCACGTGCGGCGGAAATCTTGAAGAGCGGCGGGCCAGCTGGCGGGAACCCCTCGGCAGAGAAGGTGCAGGCGTGGTTGGAGAAAACCATAAAGTGGGGACTTTTGCGCTGCCCCAGCCCGAGGACCGTCAAGACGCACATGGTCAACTGGCTTGCTCTCAACAAGTGCCCGGGGGCATTGCTGCTTTTGGATGCCGCCGTGAACCGTTGGGGGCGAGACAATCTGCTGGACAGGCCCACGCAGCTCGGGACGCTCATCGCGAAGACGGACGCTACCTCGCTGGGGTACGTCTTGGAAAGCCTGTACACGCGGATGTGGCGGAAGAGCGTGAAGGACCCGTACAGCGCCTCCACCATCGGCCAGGCAGTGGGCGAGATCTTGTGGGCGAAGAAATACGTGGCGAACTTTCTGAAACAGTGCCCGGACTTGTTCAAAGGGAGCACTGGCTGCAACAGCACTGAGACAACAGACGCACGGGATAGCGCCGCCGAGAGAAAACTCATGGTCATGGCGAGGCAATGCCTCGACTCGCCGCTCAAGTTCTTCGAGAAGACTGAGGGGCCTGACAAGGACCCGACCTGGGTGCAGTCACTGCCGGCCGAGCCGCTGCGCCTGGCGATGAAACGCTTCCTCGAATAGGCCAGGACTTCTACGGGCAGGAGATCTCTGGCGCCCTCGCCCAGCCGTGCGCCGAGCGCTACAACATGGACAAGTTCCACAGGAGCGTGCGAGTGACCAAGAGATTCTTCGATAAGTTCCAAATCGCGTACGACTCCCTCGTGGGAAACCCCCGGGAACCGTCAGGGCAGAAGCCTGCAGACAGCGACGCGGTCGGTGCTGCAACGGCGGGCGGTGCTGGCACAGCGGAGGCGGCCTCCGAGGGCAAGAAGAAGATCGACGTCTCCCCGAGCGACGTGAATAACTTCAAGGCGCTGTGCGAGCAGCAGTGCTCTAGCCAGCTGGATACGCGGGTCGTCATGATCACGGCGGAGGGCAGCGCCATGGATATCAACGCTTCGCTTACTAAGACACGCCTATACCAGAACCTCACAGAGAATGCATCAGTGATGGGCTTCTACGATGTCAAGAATGCGAAGTTGCGCTGCGTCTTCGAGGGGCAAGGCCTCGCGCGCCGTGAGCCCGCGCTGGACGAGTTGGATTTCGCACGCTACCTGAAGTCCCTGGACCCGCTGATGCTCGGTGGACGGGACGTGCTGTGGGTGCTGACGGGCCGCTCGCAGTCGAACCTCCCGAAGATCCAGAAGATCCTCGCAGCAAACAAGTTCCGCACGGTCACATGCCACCTCGCCTACAACGCGAAGCAGATGCAGCAGTGCGGACACTTCCAGAGGCAGCGAGGCCTGGCGAACTCGCGCTCGCACGAGGCCATGTTGCTCTGCTACAAGGGCAGGAAGCCGAAGCAAATGGCCAAGATCAGGCAGTTCGTGGGCGCGGGCAGCTCCCTCTTCAACGAAGTGGTGAGGAACGTGCCTGTCCTGCCGCAGAAGAGCCACGCCCTCGTGCCCATGCAGGTTCGGGAGACCAGCTTGGCCACCATGGTCGGCCAGTGCGTCGCCGAGGTGGAGGCCGAGGAGCAAGAGAAGCTGGGGTACTGCCAGCCTCTCCATGAAGACGAGGGCGCTGATTGTGGCGCCGAGGCGCGCGACGAAGCTGCAACAGCCGTCCGCCCCGAGAAGGCCCTCGTGACTGCGGCCGTGAAGAAGCGGAAGCTCTACCGCCAGCTCACGGGAACGGAGGTGTCGTGGCTCCCGCACGACAGCGACATCGAGCTCCTCAAGGAGCTCTGCCACGAGGCGGGGAAGCCCAGGTGGGTGTACTTCGGCGCGCCCGCGGGCGGAGCGGGCATGCACGGCTGCATCGAGAGTGGGCGCAATGTGTTGGCCTTGACTTTCGACGACCACCACGCGAAGGTGCTCAATCCGTTTCTCGTGGAGCGTGCCGTCGAGGCCATGCTCGGGAGCAACGCCATGGTGTTCGTGAGCGAGGACCTGCTTGTACGCTCTGTGCAGTTGCGCCTGACAAAGGAGGGCCCGAAGGAGGACCCGAAGGATGGGAAGAAGGACGACAGCAAGAAGGAGGGCCAGGAGGAGGACAAGAAGAAGGACAAGAAGGAGGATAAGAAGAAGGACAATAAAGATGAAACGAAGAAGGGTAAGAAGGGTAAGAAGCGCGACGCCGACGCGTCCTCGACCTCAGACTCCTCGCCCTCAGACTCCTCGGCCTCGAAGAAGAAGAAGCCGAAGACCGGCTGCAACAGAGCGCAGGCTTGAGCGCGGGCTGCAACAGAGCCCGACAGCTCCGACGCAGGGGCCAGCCCGCGCGCTCCAGTTCCCGTGGAGCTGCCACTTGTTTGATTTTGGACTGCAACAGTCGCGCGCTGGCGGCGTCGCCTCCGTTCTCGTAACGGGGCGCGCGCCACATTCTGGCCTGTGCAGTACGCGGCACCTTGCGTACAGATAGGAACATAGTCCTCCGTCATCCCTTCGTCGCCATCCGTCGCACTTGGCCCGCGGCGCAGGCAAGGCGCAGAGTCAGGATGCTTACCTTTCCAAAGGGTACCCTTGCATCCTGCGCTTTCCGTTCCGAAGCTGGGGGGCTGGATGAACAACAGATACCATGCCGCCAAGGCCCTTGCATCCTTACGGCGCTCTGTATGGGCGGGCCAGGATGGGGGTGCAGCAGGGCAGGGGAAACGCGGGAAGCAACGCTCCGAAGAGCGGCCGCAGGGGGGGGGGGGGGACGGAAGAGGGGCCCGCAGGCGTCTCGGCTCACTGAAACTTAGCGGGCCCGCAGGGACGACACTGCCGTCAGCGGGCCTCCGCGGCGATGGCTGCCTCGGGCGGCAGCGGTCGCGACAGGAACAAGGTTCTCTACTATAAGTGGGGCTGTTACCTGCAGGGTGAAGGGTCGAACAGCGACAAGATCAAGAAGCTGAGGGAGACCTGCAGCAATAGCACGGCCGGGGTGGCAAAAGGGGGCCCGACCGCAAAAGTGTCGCTGGAGAAGGTAACGGAGAACAAATGTGAGTTGACGTGGCCAAAGCCAGTTTCGTATGACACCTGCGCGCGGCTCCTCAAGATTGCGCTGGGCGCCAACTGGAAGTCGGCCCGCGCGCGCGCGCGTCCGCGGACGCCACATGCGAAGATTACCACCCACTGGTGGGAAGCCCGCGCATCAGCGCGCGACCCTCCGGCCTCGGGCTGGCGGCGAGCAGTTTTTTTTGGGGGCAAACGGCGCAGCGCATCGTGTTCAGGATAAGCGTAGTGCAGCGTAGCGGGGGCCGCCCTTGCCAGCGATGCGAAGTCGGCAACGCTCCAGGCTATGTAAGGGCAGGGCCGCGGGCCGAGCCAAACTCAAAGTCGCCAACGCAGCGGGCCGAGAAGGAAGGGGGGCGGATCAAGAGGCACAAGCGTTGGACAAACAGAAAACGCAAAACTAAACCAGGAGCCTGCAGCAGGCTTTACTGAAGAAGTAAGCACTGGTGCATGCAACCTGGTGGACTCACCTGAAATAAACCCAACATCCCAGTCTACTACTTCGCTTCCTTGAGCTCATGGCGTGGTGCGAGGAGTATGGTCGTCGTCGATCGTAGGCCCCGCGAGCTCCTGCCACTTCAACGCCCCGCAGGGGTGTGGGATGGATGCGATCAGCACGCGGTGACGGTCAGTCGCTCCGTTCCAGCGAACCTCGCCCTCCTTCACGCTGTCCTGGCGCTCTACCACGAAACAGCGCTCCGTTTGGCACGGGTGCATTAGGGGGGCCATTCCGCCAGCGGTGGCCACCGCCTTCGAGGCCATCTGGACCTGCTGTTGGTCGTTCTCGGTTTTGTCCTCCTTCAGGGCGGCTCCGTGTCCTCGAGGTGCCAACTGTAGGTGGTGCAGGTCCGTTCGGGGCAGGGCGTCGGGTCGCCTGCCGCCTCGCCTGCCTCCGCGGCTGCCGCCTTGGCGGTCTTGCCCTCGGAGTTGTAGGACTCCGCCGCGCGGTCCACGCTCGGCTTTGTCTGGGCCTTGCTCTCGAGCTCCGGGGCCGCGCTGGCAGCGGGCGCCGCCTGGGGGGGCGCAGGGGCCTGCGTCGGGATGCTCTCGGCCACGTTCTCCTCCGCGGCGGCGTTATAGGCGCCGAGCGCCTACTGTATGCGATCCATGGGGGCGATGGCGTGGTGCGCGCGGTCCTGGAAGCGCAGGGCGTCGCTGATGGCGGTGGTCGCTGGGCCGCCGCTGCCTGGGGCCTCCGCCGCAGCCGTGGACCGGCGCTGCCAAGCCCGCAGAGAGCTCAGCATGTGTTGTCGGTGCCACTCCCGCGCCGGCGTTTTGGGGGGTCGCTCAGTGAAGCGTCGGCCCACATGCACAGAAGTCCCGACGATCATGTGGTCCCGAGAGGGGCCCGGGGCCAGCGGAGTCTCACGGATGATCCTTGCGGAGATCCTGGGAGCCCGTGCTGCGCGAGGTAGCGACGTGGCCGATCTTTGTCTCACCGGCGGCCGCATGTGCTGTATATGCCGTCGTCCCCGAGTGCCAGCGCGGACGCGGCTGCCAGCGTGGGCGTCGAGGCTTCTCTGTGGGTGGTGCTGGTCCTGCCCGGTTCGGATAGGCGATCCAGCTCCGTAGTTGATCCTGATCCTACTGGCGCATGCCGCATGCAACGCTCCGTGTTGCAGGCGAGAGCGCGTCAATCCATCTTGGGAAAGCAGCCCTGCGGTTGGCGCCCTTGCGCCACGCGCGGTCGCAAATCTCGCGCGCAAGTTGTTCAGCAGTTTGACCCCGAGCTGCTAACGCCCATTGAAAATTCAGATGCTGGAGCTCCACTGTGAGGTAGGCCTCGCGCCAGTCTTTCCACTCAGCCTCGTCATCTGGTTGGGCTCCGCCCCTCGCGCTGCGGATCCAGCTCCGTGCCCAGCGACGCACCTCCCGTTCATGGGCTGGTGCGGGTGCACTCTGGCGGGGCGGCCGTCTCCTGGGCGCAGAGGATGGTGTCGTAATTGTCGAGGTGGCCCTGCCGATGCCCCACCTGCTGGACCTGCCCCTTGCAGTAGCTGGCGGACTATCGGTGCACTTGGACGGCTCATTCCGACTGAGCCTCTTCTGCAGGTGGTAGTCGTGATCGCGCGGTAGGTAGTGTCGAGACCCAGGACACTGTGCACCATCAGCTCCTTGTTCGATGTAGTGGTCGGTCGGGCGGTCCAAGAAGCGCACCCGTCTGGCCCGAGGGTCGGGCGCTGGGCTACCCACGCGGTGGGTCCGCTCCTTTGCTGGCACCTTTGCCTGCAAGGACCGCCGCTGCACGCTCCTCGGCAGACTGCTTGGCTGCCCGCCAATTGTCCCGCCCTACCGTGAAGCAATCCGCGTGGACTCTAGCCGCGGGGAAGGCGTGACGATGTAGCCGGGGCGATCCCAGATCCCAGCTTCAGGCGAGTAAATTGTGTCGACGTCTGAGGTAACCACATAGCTGGAGGGTGCCGCGACGTCCTGGCATACATGAAGGTCGACCTCAGGCCATGCCCGCCCTGTGGCGAGCATCGCACGGTGGGCGCGGTGATAGTTCCATTTTTTTTCTCACTCGGTGCTGCCTGCGACCACCGGCGGAAACGCGCACAAGTCGAAGTGAAACCTGCGGAAAAGGCTGATTGTAACAATAGATTCCCGCGTCCGTCGCGGGGATGCCTCGATGAAGTTGCGGCTAAAATGTAAACTCGCGCGTGCGTACCCCATGCCGGACCATGCTGGCGGGACTCGCGCTGATGCCCAACGCAAGTGGGGAGGAGGGCGAGGACGAGGAAGAGGGGAGAAGCCACCAGGCTGTTGTAAACTAGCACTCGTGCGTGCGTATACCGGTATCTACGGCCAGTGCCGGAGAAGGAAGATACCCGCACAGAGGGCCCACACGAGCGGAAAGCAAATGAGCCGGAGCAGAGCCTCATACCTAGGCAGAGGAGCTACGCCAAGTGTGCGAGCGAACAATGCTGCAGGCAAGTTGAAACTTCATATCTGCTCAAGGGGTGGAAGAACTGCGCCGGCTCGATGGGGCAGCAGCCCGAACCCGCAGGAGGCCAACCGCGATATTCCGGACAAGACGGGGCGAAGCGCCCGGCAAGCGCACTTGGCGGAACGCCAGCGCCGCCAGCGCAGAAGCGGCGGGCCCGCGGGCAGATGGCGCGCGCAATCAGGAGAAGTACGCTCTTTCAGCGCAGCGCGACCTGGGAAGCTCAAAGAAACATCATGCAAGACATCCTGCAAATTTCAACTGCATAGAATCGGCCCGATACCTCACACCACGTCGCGTCGAGCCGGCCGAGTAAACGTCACCATATTCTGGGTGCGCATGTCGGCCTTCACCGGCTGTTCTCTTAAGAATTGGCTACGTATAAACCCAATTGGGTCCCAGGGGCGAGCGAGGACGAGGGGGGGGGGAGGGCGAAGGGCGAGGTCAAGCAACCGACGGGGCGGAAACTTGCCGAGCTGGCACAGAAAGAAGCCGTGCCTCCGAGGATGGCGCTGGAGCAGGGGCAGACGCACCCGGCACCCGGCACCACCAACGCAGCGGAGGCCAAGCCTCAGAGAGGGGGCAAGGCAGGCATGTCCCGCACACGCGCCCTTAAAAACGCACGCGGGTGCGCTCGAGCCACCCCAACAACCAGTCCGGAGCAGCTCCGACGCTCGGCGTCGAGTCTACCTCAGACGAGTCGGTGGGCGCGGCTCGCGACCAGCAAGGACCACGTCCCAGAACCCCGCCAAGCCCGAGGTTGCCGTGCCCTCGCGAGGCGCCAACATCTGGCGCCAGGACAAAACTGCAATCAGGCAGGAGGAGGAGGAGGAGGAGGAGGAGGAGGAGGAGGAGGAGGAGGAGGAGGAGGAGGAGGAGGCGGAGGAAGGGAGGCGGAGGGGGAGGGGGCAACTGTACAAATGGCCGCTCATCGTCGGATTCTCTGCCGGTCGCGCCAGACCTCGGCGAGGAAACTCTCGGACTTGACGTGGCCGCCGACCGCCTCGCGGATAGATTGCTGCAGCGCCCGCTCGCCGTCCGAAGCCGTGAAACCACCTTGATGGCGCGCCGTGTTCGTGACCCGGCATGCCGCGTAGGCCCCAATAGTGCCCAGGGCGAGCAGCTGGTCGTTGCTCTGATCTTTGTGGACACCAAGCCACCATGGTAGGAACCACTCGCCCGTGAGATTCAACATCGTGGCGTGGGCGCGCCGAACGACCCTGCACCTCGAGTAGTGCTCCACGCTGTCCTGCGCGGCCCCGCCACAGCCGAGCATGCAGAAGTTGCGAGGACCGTCGCGCTGTTGAAAGCGACGTGCTGTGCACCACCCATTCCACGCAGTTCGCAACATAGCTGCGCGCACCCTTGGCGGCACAAGGTTCCTCAACGTCTGAGCACGGCGTAGGAACCTGCAGGCGACGACCCCTGGGGTGCGTCGCGGCACGAAGCATCGAACCAACTTGAGCTTGTGTCGCACGCGCATGTCCATAGCCGGTGTGTCTTGCCGCCTGATGTGCGCTCGCACTGCCCCTTGGAATCGGTGTCGCACGGCCTCCCAGTGGTCGGCCGCCAAAGACTCCCTGGGCACGCCTGCCAAGGTGGCAACAATATCCTCGCTGCCGAGGCCCCGGCCTCGAAGGCTGTCGTCGGTGCTCCCCAAGACGATCGGACAAGAGCAATGCAACCAGCTTGACCACCTGGCAACTCGCTGCGTGTAGTCTGACTGAGACTAGGCTTCGCGAATCTGCCGCACTACTCTGTGAAGCCCCCCCTGTCCAAGGCCGCGGGTCTCATGCACGGCCAGCCGGAGCTGGGCTGCCGGCGCGAGCGCTGCCAATTTCCCAAATGCGTAATCCCGGAAAGCGCGTCGACGTTAAACAGATCGTCTGGCATCGCTCAATTGCCCGGGCCTGGAGCAGCACGCCGCAAAGCCCACTCCTCGACCTGCTGGACGCCACAATCCACGTCCGCGATCTGGGCGGTGAAGCTCAAGACTGGAAGGGCGTAAGTATTGTACACGAAGATGGCAAACTGGAGCCCGAGCGATGACCATTGCCAGCCAGACACTCGCTCCCGGAACCTGGCCGCCGCGCGGTCCCAGGCCTTGCCAACTTTGCCCGGGCCGACAAGGCAACCCAGGTACGTGGGATAGCTCCATATGCTGTGCAATGGCTCGCTCCCGTCATAGTAGTAGTCATCATGCGACACGGAACTTCACGGTGGTCGTGCCGCCACCGAGCGCTCGGCCTTCCAGCGTAGCGAACTTCGGTTAACGATGGCGCACAAAAAAGAAACGAATCATGACATGTCCCGCCATCGAATGATGATCATCCTGTGCGGGGGCTTGCGACCCCGGAGACACGAGAAACGACCCCAGAACCGCTCGAACCAAGGCATTTCAAATATGCTTCCCGTCATCCGCCAGCGAGGTCCTGGGTGCGGCGCGGAACCATAAATAAAAAACAACTGAACTTGACCATAACAAACGGTCCACGCCAGAGGCACTTCCCGTCATCCGCCACCGTGCCCCGTGGCACGTTAAGGCGTACTAGTCTGCCAAGTGCTGTCTGGTAGGATTTCCATAATCTTCTAACCCCCCTCTCCCCGTCGCACCTCGTCGCGCGCACCGGCCATACTCCTGGGGGGTCTCTGGGCGGCCATGGCGCCTCCTTGGGGCTCTCCGAAGCAACCATGACGGGAGGCCCGCAAGACGGTCCAAGAGGGCCCTGAGTCGCCGAAGCGTCGCTCGAAGACGCTCAAGATGGCATCAAAATGGCGCAAGAGGCTTCCAAGGCGCCTGAAGAGGCCTCCGAGAGGCTTCCCAAGAGGGCCCCCAAATGCCGCGGAGAAAGGTTCCAAACTCAATCGCGTTTTTACGCAGTGCTCAAAAGGATCACCTATTAGGTGCTCAAAAGGATCACAGTGATCGCACTTGGCAGCATGGCGGCAGACCCTTACCCTCCTTGATGGCGGGCGTTCTGGCGCGAAAAAATATCAAAGTATTTGCGGTTGGAGCGGGGACCCCTGTCCGCCAGGGCACGGCTCGGGCGCGTCCTCAGGTCCCACGCCCGTGGAAATTATCCTGGCGAAGGACCCAACCATTTGCAGTTGTGAATATCGTCGTTGCCGGCATCGCCTTCGGAGGATCTTCTCACGCGGCGATGAAGCACACGAGTGGTGTGCCGATGTGGGGCGGGGCCGCCACGGGGCCGCGAAAAGTGTGAGGGGTGCGCCGCAGTGGGGCGGGGCCGCCACTGGGGCCTTCGGTGGAACTCTCTACGGAACAACGAAACAATGTAACGGGTGGGGAAACGGATGCGAGTACAGCCACCGGGGCCTTCGGTGCAGCTCCCCATGAGGCCACGAAGCGCTGTGCTGGGTGGGGGGAATGCATGCGAACACCGCCACTGGGGCCTTCGTTGGAGCTACATTTGGGCCACGAAAAATTGCACTATGCGGGGTTGACGCATGCTTGTGCATCCACTGGGGCCTCCCGTCGCAATCCCTATGCGGCCACGAAGCGCTGTACTCGGTGGGGGTGACGCATACGGGCGGTGTCTCTGGGGCCTTCGATCGAGCTCCCTATGGGGCCACGAAGCGCTGTGCTGGGTGGGGTGTGACGCATGATGGCGGTGCCACTGAGGACGTCGGTGGAGCTTCCTATGGAGCCACGAAGCGCTGTACAGGGTGGGGGCGACGCATGCGAGCGGTGCCACTGGGGCCCTCGGTGGAGCTCCCTATGGGGCCACGAATCGCTGTACTGGGTGGGGGTGACGCATGCGGGCGGTGCCACTGTGGCCTTTCGGTGGAGCTCCCCATGGGGCCACGAAGCGCTGTACTGGGTGGAGGTAACGCATGCGGGAGGTGCCAGTGCGGCCTTCGGTGGAGGTCCCTATGGGGCCACGAAGCGTTGTGCTGGGTGGGAGATGACGCTTGCCGGCGGTGCCGCTAGGGCCTTCGGTGGAGCTCCCCATGGGGCCACGAAGCGCTGTACTGGGCAGGGGCTGACGCATGCGGGCAGTGCCACTGGGGGCTTTGGCGGAGCTCCCTATGGGGCCACGAAGCGCTTTACTGGGTGGGGGATGACGCATGATGGCGGTGCCACTGTGGCCTTCGGTGGAGCTCCCTATGTGGCTACGAAGCGCTGTACTGGGTGGGGGTGACGCATGCGGGTGGTGTCACTGGGGCCTTCGATCGAGCTCCCTGTGGGGACATGAAACGCTGTACTGGGTGGTGGATGACGCATGCGGGCGGTGCCACTGTGGCCTTCGGTGGAGCTTCCTATGGGGCCACGAAGCGCTGTACTGGTTGTGGTTGACGCATGCGGGCGGTGCCGCTTGGGCTTCGGCGGAGCTCCCTATGGGGCCACGAAGCGCTGTACTGGGTGGAGGATGACGCAGGCGGGCGGTGCCACTGGGGCGTTCGGTGGAGGTCCCTATCGGGCCACGAAACGCTGTACTGGGTGGGGCTGATGCATGCGGGCGGTGCCACTGGGGCACTCGGTGGAGGTCCCTATGGGGCCACGAAGCGTTGTACTGGGTGGGGGATGACGCATGCGGGCGGTGCCACTGCGGCCTTCGGTGGAGCTCCCTGTGAGGCCACGAAACGCGTGAGGGCTGTGCCGAAATGGGTGTGGGTGACGCATGCGGGCGGCAGCACTGGGGCCTTCGGCGGAGCTCCCTATGGGCCACGAAACGCTGTAATGGGTGGGTGAAACGCAAGGAGGAGGGAGGATGGGGGAGGAGGGAGGAGGAATGAAGGAAGGAAGGAAGGAGGAGAACGCGGGGCGTTGTCTCTTCAAAGCGAAGGCCCAACAACACAAATGGGTGGGGAAAAAAAGGCTGACGATTCTCACCGTGAACCGATGCCGCGCGCCGCGCCCCCACGGCGACACTTCTGGCCTATAAGCGGAAGGACTGGCTGCGCCTCTTAAGCGGGCGAGCAGCAGCGAAGGCTCACCAGGGAATCGAGGCGTGCACCGAAAATCCATACACACATTCCGAGGATGGGCCGGAACGAAAGCCCGAGCAGAAAACAGCCCGCCCGCCCCCATAATCTGGTATTGAATCGTATGCCCGCGCTGCAGGAGGGCATAAGAATGGTCACTGGCGAAATGTACATTCTGGAGGCCATCTGCCCGCTAGGAGCCCCAAACTCCGTTCGTCGGGGGGCCAACACATGCAAAACGATTCGCGCAGCATACCTGCTCTGATGCCACGGTTGCCCTGCGATGGGAGGAGTTAGAGGAGGCGAGCGCAGAAGAAGAGCGAGGCGCCCACCGGGCCAGGCAGGAATAATCGCCCGCTGCTGGGATAATGGCTGCCAGGGTACGGAGTCCACCCACACAAGCCATGTCCGAGGCAGCACCACTGCCTAGTGCGGGCAACGTAGAAGGCAGTTGCATGCGCCAGTGCCAACGCACAACGTCCTTTATTCATCTTCATCCACCCGATTGAAAATTACCTGGGGAACTGCGCGCCATTTACATGGCCGCCGCATTGCCGCACCTCGCGATAATGGCGCGTTGCGAGCGGCGCGCGAGTGTGAAGACGCTGCGTATCATTGCGCGTCCTCCAGCTCTCCCCCTGCCCCTCTACCTCACATCCTCCCTCGTCATTCCACACGGAACCGCTGGCTCGTTGGCCATGGCAGGACTTTGAAAATGTGCGGCAACCCGCAGGGGTTCGGACTCCTAATTATGGCGTCGAGCCCGCAGCTGGATGCATGGCAGGCCTTCCAATCCGGCCAACATCGAGGTGCGTTCCTTAGGAGAAAAGGCCCGTCCACAGCATGCGCGACGGCTCCCCGAGTCCCCGACGGCCGAGACCTGCCAACCAAACAGCGCCTTCCTGCTTGCGAGCCTAACGGTTTCACGGCGACCCCGCATATACACCAGGGCCGCGGCCTGGTGCGGTGTGCCAGCGAGCCGCCCCCAGAAGACTTTGAATCGGTGCGGCAACCCGCAGGGCAACTGGCGGCACTCAAATGGGCCTAATCTGCTGGGACATCGCTGCGACTTTGACTTTCGTCAAACGTGCGTTTGACTCGCCCATGTCGTCCAGCCCCCATCGGAACCCAAAACGCTAGTTTTAGGTCGGCCGTGTCCCCCTGCAGGCGGATTTTGGATGAAAAATGAAAAATACCCCACAAACATTCAAAAGTAGCCAGGAATACGCAAAGCATCGTCCTGTAGAGGGACAGGCCCGACTTAAAGCTAGTTTCTGATGAGACATCCGCACGGTTCGCTCTCACACTGGCCACGGCGGGCCGGCCACGCTGGTGTTGTGCTGCCTGCGCCGAGGCGAGAGCACCGCTTGGACGGACTTCCGGCCATGGTACAGGAGTTCGGCCCGCAGCGTAGGAGAGCGAGAGAAGATGGTCCGCCGACCCCCGCTTGTCGGGGGCGCGCCAACTTGGAGTAGCGATCCATGGATTTGGCGCGCGGTCGCCAAATCCATGGATCGGGGAAGGTGCACTCACCAACATGCGGTTGGTGGCGCCTCGTGCGGCGGCGGCAATCAGCGATTTCCGATGGAAACGGGACCCGTCGCTAATCCACGCCCCCTTAATCCATGTTTGCGATCGCCCGAGAGAAGGCGTGTGAGACGTCTGGCCGTCCCCCTTCGGGAGCT